ATGAATGACATGGAACTCAGGATACAAAGAAATGTGTGAAGCTGTGCCACTGAAAGTATATTACCATATGAAAATATGCATATGAGATAAGAGAGATTCCTTACTACATTTCTGAATTTCCTTTCTAAACGGAAAGACTGGGAAGAAGTGACTCTCCCAATGGCTGGGAATTCAGGTGAGCAAGAGGAACAACAGATTTCTAGTCTCGTCACACATGTATTTTTATGCTTTTACACCTGATTGCTATTGTGCACATTTGCCTTGTTCCTGGAGCAGGACTACAACACAGACCACCTACCATCCTGAATGTCACACTCCCATGAAATCCATCAGATGCTGCTATTTCTCCCTTCCTCCTGTGGTGAATCTTTAATGCCTGTAAACAAAGCAAAATAACTTCAGCCAAAGGAGATAAACACTCCCCTCTACTCCTAATAGCCATAGTCTGGGCCGGAGTTTAAATCCCTTTAGGGAGATGAAGAAAACCTGAATCTCCCACTTCCTGGACAAGAGCTATATAATCAGCTCAGAATTATTGAATATTCTTTCACAAGGTGGATTTCAAATTTGTAGCTTAAACATTAAGTACTTCCTCCTGCAATTTTATCTACATAGGTAAAGATTCTACAGAAATTGATTTTGGATGAAAAGAGAACCATAAGGTATAAATCAAGTAATGGAGCCAGAGAACGGAAATAGTTCCATTTGTATCAGATATGCAACTGCACAGCTCAAATTAAAAATGCTGAGTGCTCAAATATAAGTTCACAGTGAAGAGTTCCTGAGCAATGCAGACTGAATGTTTCTACACAGAACATATGCTTAGATATTTTAAAATTACAAACGGATTTTAAAAAAATTGTCTTAAAAAAAAAGCAAGAAAAAAAGGACAAATGAGAATATTATTTTGCTTCAAATAATTTTTGGAGGAAAAAGTGTTTCTGAGTGATCTTCCTTGTCAGAAGAAGAGTCTATCTAAAGACACATATGCATATAGCCATACTGTATGCTGCTTTTATGTGCCAATATGTCCCTGTTGGAGTAAATCTAATTGGGCCAAAGCTCTGTCTCTTCTGAGAGCATCTAACACTCAAGGAATCAAGAGGCTGGACTAGCATTAATTTACAGGTGTGACCATGGGTGGCTTAAAATGCAGAGACCTCACTAAAACTCACAGTAGTTAAAGAATTCAGCAATGACTGTGTTTATTTCTAACCCTCTCAGTATTCAGCACTTATGAAGCCATTCATGCAATGATATTTTTGGTGTTTCTTAAGTGCTTTTCAAGCTGTATCCAAGATGCCTTGGCAACTTAGAGAGCTGACTAACAAGTGAAGATGTGTTCTCATACAGTTACTCAGGAAGACTTTTAGGCATTGTTAGCATGCCAATATTGTTGATTACTCCAGGAATAAATACTCCAAAATCTGTTTCTGTATTGGTAGTCCTGACTTGTATTTTGAATTGAAAAGATGAACTGGGAAGAAAACATTCAACTGTTGCTAGAAAGATACACATTAAGAGATGTATAAAAATGCATCTCCTCCTTCCTTTCTCTGATATGCTGCTATTTAAAATACACTGTAGACAGGATGGGTCAATTTAATTACTATGGAAAGGAATTTGTGTACAAGAGAGAATTCTCATGAGAATAAACAGAAAAATCTGGAAGCACTTTAATTCACCCTTTGACTTTAAGGTGTGATTTAATTCCTTCCTACTGTGTCCTTCCTAAATGAACTGTGGGATAAAAGATAGGCTGTTGGGAGTTGTTTCCTGAGTATTCAGCCTCTTTGCTAGAAGAAACTAAAATACTGGCTGGATAGTTCTTTAAAACTTTATTGCTCCTTCCAAATGTTGTCTTTTTCTATCTATCCTTCATTAGGATTTTTTTAATAGCACATGCAATGCAGTCTGTGTTTCTTATGTGTCATCTAAATCAATTACAATTGCCCTTAGCTTAGGAAATCAAATCTGACTGTTCTCCTTTGGTTGTGGATCTAATTTTCTGGTAACAGATGCAATTCATCAAAAGCTGATGTTCTTTTAAATACTAAACCAATTGCATTTTAACAGCCAAATCATTTTGTAAAGGTATTTTGTATTTGCAAAGGATAACCTGCCAAACTAGATTGCCTGTGTCACTTTTAGTCTGGAATCTCTGTGTCTGTGCTAATATGTATTAGCATTTTTGAGCCTACAGGACAAGGTTACACAAGCGGGCTGAGAGACAGAAATTTAAGTATAGCCCAAATCTTTTTATCCCTCTTTAGTAACTCAAAGCATGATTTGTACTGCGATTCTTCCTTAAAGTCAAACATTAAAAAATGACAGGTGTATTTTTTGCTTGTATTGACCATTTAATAGCTATTCTATAGCCATCTAAAAGAAATGGAATATGCTCAACCTACTCCCAGAGGAGCTGTTCTGCAAAGGGAGAAAACAGAACTTTTCCTTTTATACTATGAGACAGTGCTGCACTGAGGCATCTTCTGCAGAATTGACCCCCCTGACCCACCAAGATGGGTGGGGCCCCAACCTTCCTCCCTGAGTGTAATGCAATCCATTTCAGATCCAGCCAAGAACTCATTTTATTTGGGTCTGCACTAGTACCACACACTCTTGCTTCTTCATTACACAAGTTTTGAGCCCAAGAATGTTCAACACATTCATGTGTACACAAAATATAGTGCCCTGTGTGGTCACAGAAACACTATTTTCTTACTGTCTTTGTCCCAAGAGCATTTGACTCTCTTTTTTTTTTTTTTTAGATTAAGGCTTTTCCTACCCTGAAATGGTAATCTGTGAAAATGTTTGTGACTTTAAAATTCCCTTTTTCAACTGATGCTTGTGCCCATTCCACTTCCTACTAAGTATTCCATCTTCTAAACTGTTAGCTTTTCTGTTCTGATGAAACCTTTAAATTTACATAGAATGCTTTCATATGGCTGCATTAGTGAGCACATATAATTAATACAAATTTTTTTGCTATCTCAGCCATCAGGGAAACTTTTTATTTCTCTGAAGTCCATTTCTGCAGTTCTGCATCTATTATTCTAGTAAGCACAATATCAAAGAGTGAATTATGATTCTGAAATCTATAGGAAAAGAAGAAGCTTTCCCTTTATAAACATGTTTCTTTTTGCTCTGCTGTCCTCAGCAGAGTTTGTTATTAGGAGCAGTCTGTACAAAAAAGACCACCTGGACAAAAGCATCAAAGGTTTATTTGGGTGATAATCCATTCAGCAAGCCATCCCTCAATTTAAAGCACAATTTTAGATGTGATCATTTCTAACCATAAACTTCATGCCAAAAATGAACAAATCCAACTTTTGCCAGCACACCAGAAACAGAAAACCTACTGGTTGGTCTGAGGCCTGTGCTTTCCCAAGTTTTCCCTCTAGCTCTACCACACACATACACAGTTTACTTCCTCAGCTATTTGCAATGCTTTCATCTTCTTCCTAAATCTTACAATTGAAGTCCTTGTTGCAGTTGTTAGTAAGCTCTAAATTGGCCTAAACTTCCAAAAAATGCTCTGTTTCCTTGAATACACTGGCAATGTCAGGGAGCTCACTGGCATCCTCTCCCATCTACTTTACTCTTCTAGTAGCATATGCTGCAAGCAGATTTCTCACTGTGATCCAGTCCGCTGGTAACTGTTCTAGCAACAAGGCTTTCAGATTGCCTTGCCTGGCTGTAGAGCTTGTTTTCCTCGCAGACCCATCATTTTTCAACAACTCTATATGTACGTTAATCCTTTACACCTCTGGGATCTGCATTTCTTTCCCATCAGAAATGTGAAATAGGGAACATCTCCATTAACTGGTCTATATGCAGAATACAAGCTTTCAATTTGTATTACTTTAGAAACTGAATCTCATTTCTTATACTGGTATGGCTATCTGGAAAGCCAAGATCTTTAGGGCTGAGTGACTTGGGAGGAGCACTACTACTAGAAGAATCAGTGCCTGCTCTCAGGACTTCCTAAGCTCTTCTCCTCTCAGCACATTCCACAGAAAGCCCTTCCTCCAGGCCATGACCTCAGCACTTCTTCATATTTAACCAGTGACTTGCTGTCCCATGAGATGTACTTCCACAGGATAAGCCAATGAAACAGACCATCACACTTAATAGGGATGTACTTCAATCCCTGACTCCCAGACACAAGTTCCTGCTGCTCACCACCCTCCAGCTCTGCTGAGAGCCCCACCAGCAAAATGGATATTCTCAACTGCACTGGACCATGGAACATATGGATTAACACGAGCCCTTCAGAATCACAGAATCAATTAGACTGGAAAGGATTTCTGAGATCATCGAGTCCAACCTGCGGCTGCACACCACCTTATCAACTACATTGAGGCACCAAGGGCCATATCCAGTCTTTCCTTAAACACTTCCAGGTGAATCTGCCACCTCCCTATGCAGCCCTTTCCAATGTCTAACCGCCCTTTTTGTGAAGAAATCCCGAATGTCCAATCTAAATCTCCCCTGGTGCTGCTTGAGGCTGTGTCCTCTTGTCTGTCGCTGGTTGCCTGGGAGAAGAGCCTGACCCCCACCCGGCCACAGCCTCCTTTCAGGTGGTTGTAGAGAGTGAGAAGGTCCCCGCTGAGCCTCCTTTTCTCCAGGTTCGACAACCCCAGCACCCTCTACTGCTTCTCATAGGACTTGTGCTCCGGACCCTTCAGTGGACCCGATGCATGGTGTAACTGCTCCGCCGTTAAACGGCAGGGCCACGAGGTGTTTTTCGGCCAGGACAAAACCCCCGTAGCCGCAGCGGGGCAGGAGCGGGAGGCGGCGCTGGGGCCTGGCGCCAGGCCGGGAGCGGCCCCGGCTCGTGAGGGGCGGGCTCGCGCCGCGGCCCCGCGCGCTGTCGGGCGCCCTCTGCCGGCCCCGCGGGAGCGCGCGCAGCCGCTGCCCGGACCAATCCCGGCCCAGCCGGCCGCGCGCGCACCGCCCCGCAGCCCGGGCCGGAACGCCCCCGCCGCCTTTCGCGGCAGCGCCGTAAAGCGCGGCCGGCGGGGAGCGCCGGGCCCGTAGCGGCGGCGGTCGCGGTCGGATGCCCGGGGGCGGAGGCAGCCCGGCGCCCGGCACGCAGGGGGCAGCGGAGGCGGGCGAGGCGGCGGCGGGCGGCAGGATGAGCCTGTCGCCGAAGGAGCTGTCGAGCCTGCTGAGCATCGTGTCGGAGGAGGCGGGCGGCAGCACCTTCGAGGGGCTCTCCAGCGCCTTCCACCACTACTTCGGGAAGGCCGAGCACTTCCGGCTGGGCTCCGTGCTGGTCCTGCTGCTGCAGCAGCCCGACCTGCTGCCCAGCCCCGCGCAGCGCCTCACGGCGCTCTACCTCCTCTGGGAGATGTACCGCACCGAGCCCCTCGCCGCCAACCCCTTCGCCGCCGTCTTCGCCCACCTCCTCAACCCCGCTCCCGAGCGCGGCGGCGACGAGGCGGAGCGCACCCCGCTCTCAGGTGCGTCCCGGCGCGGCGGGGAGCGGGGCGGCACAGGAGTCTGGGCTTGGTGTCAGCCAGGCCGCTTGCTTGGACCTTACAGCTCTCTACAACTGCCTGAGGGGGCTGGGGCTGTTTAGTCTGGAGAAGAGGAGGCTCCTTTTCGCTCTCTCCAACCACCTGAAAGGAGGTTGTAGCCAGGTGGGGATCGGCCTCTTTTCCCAAGCAACCAGCGACAGGACAAGAGGGCATAGTGTAAAGCTGAGCCACGGGAGGTTTAGGCTGGACTTCAGGAAGAATTTCTTCACAGAATGGGCAATTAGACATTGGAATGGGCTGCCCAGGGAGGTGGTGCGGTCACTGTCCCTGGAGTTGTGTAAGGAAAGACTGGATGTGGCACTCAGTGCCCTGGTGTAGTTGACATGGTGGTATTCAGTCATAGGTCAGACTCGATGATCTCAGAGGTCTTTTCCAACCTAATTGATTCTGTGATAACACGGAATTTTTTGGGAGAAAGCCATTGCAAAAAGCTGGAGGTGATAGGAGGCTTCTGACAGCCTTAAAAATGTGAAACAAAACTGTTAGAGAGAAATACACGAGAGTGAAACACTTTTTTCCTCTTCAGTGTTGAGTAAATCGGTTTCTGAAAAATACAACCTGTTGGACAGACTACAGAGAGGGCCACCAAGTTGGTTAGAGGGCTGGAGCACTGGAACAGGCTACCCAGAGAAGCTGGTGCCCCATCCCTGCAATTGTTCAAGGCCAGGCATGGAGCTCAGAGCAACCTGGTCTAGGGACAGGTATTCCTGTCCATGGCAGGGGGTGGCAGCTAGATGGTCTTTAAGGTCCTTTCCAACCCAGGCCATTCTCTGATTCTGTGAATTGAATAAACTACCATGAGTGACTTACTATCAGCTGTCATGTGTATAATACTGATCACCTTGTGCTGTATTTTGCATTAAAACAGTTTTGTATGTATCTCACAGACTCTCCAGCTGCATCTACTTTGCTATAAATAATAGACCAGTTTGTCTTAGTTTTGGTTGTTAAACACGAAGAGCATGGAAACTGTTAATGCTTCTACATTAAAAACCATGGATTGTTTTTCATTGTGTCTTCACAGGCTTTTTACCTCCCATAACTCCTCCAGAAAAATTCTTTCTTTCACAACTGATGTTGGCCCCTCCTAGAGAACTGTTCAAGAAGACTCCTCGGCAGATTGCTGCAATGGATGTGGGGAACATGGCCCAGTCTGTGGACATCAGTGGGCTGCAGCTGGCATTAGCAGGTGAGGAAGGTTTGTGGCTCTGGTGCTCTTAGGAATGGAAGCTCTCATTGGAACGTGACTTCCAATGGGTTACCTGGAAAACACCTGTCTGTCCTGAATATGAAAAAGTTTGTACTATGCTTTAAGGTCTTCAAGCCTGTGTTCAAGCATTTAGAGAAACCTCAGGCAGAGATTACATTCTAACTCTTTTATCCTGCTTAATAAGTAGTTTTTAGAGCATATATGCAATTGCCTTAAACTCAAGAATATTTTGCAAGTATAGGAAGATTTTCATCTAAAGCTATATAGGGTTTTGTTAGTGATGTGTTCATGGGGAGAGGGGTGGTGATTTTAGTGGGTTTTTTCATTTGTTTGCTTTGTTTTAGTTATTTGTGTGGGGTTTTTCCCTGTATTTTCATCCCTTTTCACCCTTTGCAGTATTTATTTTATGAGAGAACAAGCATAACTGTCACACTATTACATACTAGTACTTCAGCTGTATCTGGAAAATTGACTATTATAACTATATCTTCACTTTATTGCAAAGTTAGACCTTGCAGTGTTAGCTCAAGAGTTGGAAAGTGATCCAGTTTTACTGGACTGAAAAGAAAAGCAATGTGATGCTTATCCTTTGACAGGAGGAGGAACATGATTGTTCATGTCACATCTGGAGCTAATATGAAATATATTGTTGGGAACAGGAAACCGGTTTAAACACACACAAAAAAAAATTTTCCCTGAGTATATGTCAGTAGACTTGCTTGCTTGAAAACTGACCATCCCAGTTCTCTATCTGCACAGTGTGATTTATTGCTCTGAGCTTGGGCACCATTTAGACTTTCTGTGTCCTGCAGTTGTATCTTAGTGTTGTAATTTTTCTTTCTGTGGACTCTGACATTGAATGGAAAAGCTGTGGTATATTGTCCCTTGTTCACAGTCTACAAATGTCTTGTGGGGTCCTCCTTAGCTGCTATTTCCAGACTAGGATCATTTGAAAATGCAAATTGAACACCCTAACATGCCGTTGTGGGCGAGACAAACTTTTCTGGTTCCTGTGTTCATCCTGTTTGTATTTTGTAGAATACCTTAGCAAATTCAATTTTTGTGAAGCCTCAGGTAACTTGTCAATTTTAGTGCAAGGCATGTGTGATGCCTTAAGAAGCCTCAAGTTTTTCATACTTGTTTTTATTCGTTTTCCGCTTGGTACTGTGTTTGCCTTCTGAATAGTTTGTTCTCATTGAAAATGAAATCATTGAATCACAGAATGGTTTGGGTTGGAAAAGACCATAAAAATAATATGCTTCCACCTTCACACACTGTGGGTGTGAACACTTTCCAATAGACCAGGTTGCTCAAAGCCCCATCCAACCTGGACTTAGACATTTCCAGGGATGAGGATGCACAACTTTTCTGGGTAATCTGAAAACTGAGGTTGGGTGAATGTATGCTCTAGGCCACATACTTTATTTTAAAATAGAAGATAATGATGGCTGAAAGTAGAATACAAAGTCATTAATGGTGCTTGTAGAAGATTTATATCATTGTTTACATAATCCAGTAAAAGTGCACAATTGCTTACAAGCAGTTGTAGAAGTTATGTAACAAAACCAGCTGCATCTGAAAAACCTCTGTGCTGTCTTTCTCAGACTTCTTGCTGTAGATCTCCAGATAACAGTCTACTTTCTAATCACTTTCTTAGAAGATAGATCTTTTATGGTTTTTTCAAAATCATGATGATGCTTCTGTTTGTTGTGTTTTGGAAAGTCTTTGATTTTTTTCACTAGTCTTCAATAAATTTCTCCTAATGATTCTATGTGCAGAATGAAGCTGGTGCAGGATGATGACACTAAGATGCAATGTTTGAGGTGTTTTGTTTATGCCCTTTCCCCAGGATGCACAGAATGTCACAGCTGTAACACCTGGTAGCTCTTCAAAAGTATAGTCCTTGAGATCAATTCAGGGCTGTTCAGAGCAGGATGATTTTGACTTGCTTTAGCACATACCTATAAAATCAAATGAAATGTTTTAGAAAGCATTTAAATTTTGCTATCAGTTTATCTCTCCCAATCCTTTTTTTGTAAAGAAACTAAAACCACTTATCTTCTGAATCTGAGCTTACTGTGACAGTTTATTTGGAAGTCTATGGTGGATTTTTCTATTTCTGATTCTTTTTTGTTTTTAAGGTTTACCACGCTCCCCCCCCCCCCCCAAAAAAAAAAAGTAAAATGCTGGAATCAAGCATCTGGGGCATGAGTATTATCACTTTTTCTGTCTTCCTTTTGGTCTGCAGAGAGAGCTAAATCAAACTTTGGTAGTGCCCTACAATAATATGTTTTTGTTTGTCTGGTGTGCTACCCTATCAAAAAAGTAATTTTCTTCTAGTTGCAGGGATGGGTCTCCTGCAAAAGTGTTCTTCAGTGTTTGTCTGCTAACCTGTATTTGACAGGGGAGTAATTGACCTCAAAGTATGAAAGTAAAGTTTATTACATTGTAGAGCTTTCTTTAAGAATCAAATAAAGTTTCTTTTTACCTGTAAAAATAAAATAATAAGCTCCATAAAGGAGCCTAAGGATTTGTTTTCAGTCTAGTAAAATTTAAATGTCTTAGTTGAAAATGCTGTATTGGTTTCTGTTAAATCACTGTGTTGTAATTCTTACTTCTGCTTACCTGAAGCTGTTGAATCAGCCCTTATTCTTGAAGCAGTGAGGTTGAACTTCTGAGCTTCAATGCATATAACTGAGCGCTCAGGCAGGCTTATCAAATCAGTGAGGTGAAATATCACTAATCATCTTATCTAGCATCACTAGTAATTTCAGGTGATGATGTTACAAACAAATCTGTGACTTACTGACTGATGGATTTAAGTTCTAGACTATAAATGGGAAGATAAAAAAAGGACACTAAATGCCTCTCCCCAGCTCCTGTACTTCATTTGTTAAATCAACCCTTCTGTACAGGGGCTAAATGAAAGTACTCATGTGATGAAGTTTGAAATAGTTGCTTAATTAGAAACCAGCTCATTTGGCCTTTGCCTTTAAAATGTGGGGGTTTTTTTAAGCAACTGAAAAGTATTGTAGTTGTTGCTTTTAATAGAAAAATATACTGTGCTGTGCTGCTTCAGTGAGCTTATATGCAAATGTTTGCATTATCTGAAATAGTTGGATAAAGTAGGACAGAAAGCCAAAAAAAAATTAACAACTTTGTTCTCATGATGTGCTTGTCACTCACAGTTTTGGGCATCTCTTGCAGATTTGTTTGGAGTCATATGAAACAGTTTGTGTGTGTGGGCAGCTGGGAAGGGTCAACATGATTGCACAAAAAGGAGCAAGCCCACTTTGCTTGGAAGTGTTAGGGTACACAAAATATAAAAGCACTCACTCAATTAGCCAGGAAATGGAGTGGTGTTTAGTTTTATCTGGAACTTTTTCAAGGGATTTCTTGTGTGGTACCAGCCATTTTGGACTTCAGATTGCTTAAGGCGTAATCTGCTGTTTAGTGTTCTCTGTTAACAGGGTGGGGAGAGGAATGTTAAGTGGTATTCTGTAGTGGGGATTTTTCTCCTTTTGTCCTTTGGAGTTTTCTTTGCCAAAGAAATGGAGAACAGGATCTCTCGAAATAGTACAGAGAACACAGAAGATCAGCCATTAAGTCTCCAGATACAGAAGAGTAATAGGTTACTGACAGAAGGGCACATAAAAATCTGATAATGAGGCCCATATTTTCCTTTTTGGCCAATTTCTTGAAGTTTTCAGCTATATATATAACACTAACCTTAATGTTATTTTTCTGTAACTTGTTTATGTTCTGTAATTTGGCCTCTAAAGGAATGATTTTAGTTCCTTTCAAATTTGTTTTAATGATGATGTCTGTAGAATCACATAACCATTGTTTTCCACTAAATCACTGATTCTGGCTTGACAGCGAATGTACAAGGAGCTCAGGCAATGCCACAGAAATGTGTTGGGGAAATTTAAATAGCTGACTTCAGGTCTAGTATGACTGTTATCGTCGGTAAATGGATCCCTGTAGATATTTCACTTTCCTTCTCTGAGAAGTGATTACAAAACTAGATGCAGCATGAGAACTCTTTGAGAAGCATGGGAAACTACTAATGTTCTGCTTTTAGATGTAGATTACATCAGCTACCTGCCTTTTCTAAGGCCAAGACTACGTTTCAGATTAACATCTATTTCTTTTTTACCCTTACTGCATACTCTGTCCCTTGCCTGTCAGCTGGCACTGAGACTGCTGACTGCCCGACTGTACTAAATTTCATGTTGATGTTATCTCTTGGGGTTTTTTTAAGCCAGTTATTTTATAAAGCTGCTTGTTTCTCACTACTTTTAGTATTCCAGGCATCTCTGTTCCAATTTTATGGTTTAATATTCTTCTTTCAGAACGTCAGTCCGAGTTGCCAACACAGAGCAAGGCCAGCTTCCCCAGCATTCTCAGCGATCCTGACCCAGATTCTTCCAACTCTGGTTTTGACAGCTCTGTTGCTTCCCAGATCACAGAAGCATTAGTGAGTGGACTAAAGCCTCCTATAGAAAGTATGTGCATTTTCACATCTTTGTTTCTGAAACTCACGACATCCTGTGCTATTGCACTTCAGATAAAATGTAATGCAATTCAGTAGTATTTCAAGGCATGAATTGGAAATTACGGTGAATGACAGTGTGAAACTTCATCAGGGTGTCTCTAGATCAGATTCTAGTATTCACATGTACAGACTTCTAGAAATCTGGAGTCTGTCTTCAAGCCCTTCCCCGAGTCACATCTGTTGAACAACAGATACTAGTCCCTGTACTGAGATCTGCATTGGCTGGTAACACCTCCAATGTTAAAAAGAAAAAGCAGTTACTGTGGAAGGGAAAAAGACTACAGGATCAGTAACACAGTGATCTGAATCAAGAGGCAGATGTAATGGTATCACTAAAAATCAGAAATAAAATGTTTTTATGGGAGGCAGATAGGATTATAATGCTATTCTCAATGTTAATACAGAACTGAATACCCAAAGCTTAAGAAAACATTTCACATTGTTGCCATTTTAGGTCACTTTCGACCAGAGTTTATTCGACCACCACCTCCACTCCATATATGTGAGGATGAATTGGCATGGCTAAATCCAATCGAACCAGATCACACAATTCAGTGGGATAAGTCAATGTGTGTTAAGAACAGCACTGGAGTTGAGATAAAAAGAATCATGGCAAAAGCTTTTAAAAGTCCTTTGACTTCCCCACAGCAAACACAGGTAAGGATGATGCACTTTCCTGTCTGAAATTATTCTCTAAGAATCTATTAACTCCTGTGTTTTAGAAAACTTTGAGCACTTTAATTGATCTGTGTTTGGATTCATGGAACTTTTAAATTATAAAAATCCAAGAATTTTGACTTGGGTTTGTCTGAATAAGGAAAATAATGTTCATACTATTGACTGGATGTAGTTACAGTTGATCAGGAGTGGAACTGACATTTTTCTGTGTGGAAAAATTTTCGTGTAATTAAGTTGCTCATGCTTCTGTGAAAATTTTTGATAAATAATTACTTCAGAAACACCAACATTTTTTTCCCCAATTTGATAGTATTACCCGATTTCAGCAGGCTTTTTTCATAATCATTATGCTGGCACAATAAAATAAGGTTTATTTGCACTACTCTTCCTGCCAAGTAAACTTGAAATTGAAATTTCCTTCTACTGGACAGGAAATTAAAGGAGGATGAAACTTTTCATATGGATTTTTTTTAACTCCCTTCTTTGCTACCCACTGATGAAAGACAGCTAGTAAAGGTTTTATGGACAAAGTTGCCTGCACATAAAAATTTTAAAGTAGCCCTCCAGTGCTTTTCAGTAGAGAAGCCTAAATCTAAAGGGTCCATTGTGCTGGATCTTAGATGTATTGTAGCAGTTTTTTCAAGCAGTAACATGAATAGTTGAGGAAAAATTAACTGAGGATTTTTTTTTTCTTCTTCACAGCTCCTTGGAGAACTGGAAAAGGACCCCAAGCTTGTTTACCATATTGGTCTCACTCCTGCCAAATTGCCAGACCTGGTTGAAAACAATCCTTTAGTAGCTATAGAAATGTTGCTGAAACTAATGCAGTCTAGTCAAATAACAGAGTATTTTTCTGTCTTGGTCAACATGGACATGTCCTTACATTCAATGGAAGTTGTAAATCGGTGAGTATGATATCAAGTCTAATGAGGTTTCATTGAGTATGTAAATGAACAGTTTTGTTTTATTAGGATATCTGGAAATGTTCATTTTGAGCCTTCTTAAGGCATGTCTGTGCGGGAGATAAAAGACTACAGTGGGACAAAGGGCAGTTATTGTGAGAATCCTCCACAAACAGTTAATGCCACATGGCTAATCTGCTTAATTGCAACTTGCATTCTTGATTCAGCTTAAGTGAACAAAAGGTGCTGTTGTTAAACAGTTGCCCTACTGTACATTCATGTCCTGTTTTCATTGAGAATAATTTCTGCAGATAGGTAGAACCCATTTTCTTAACAGCATGCTAGCCCCTTAATAGGAAAACTTTTCAGACCGCTAATTCCCACAAATTTACAGAAATATATCTCTCCCACTTACTTTCTCCCATTTCTTAACAATCACTGAATGTGAACCACCAAATAAGCCTCAATCAGCATTCCCTTTGAAACAGAGTTGAATTGCACCTTAAATATCTTCTGATTAAAGAAACATTCTGAAATAAATGCCTCCCTACTGGTGCAGACTGTCAGCAGTAACTGCCCTGAAACAGGGCTAACGACTGCAACATGGAGAAAGAGAGGCAAGAGAAGAGCTTTCACCTGTGTCCAGGAGAGCTACACCACCAGTCAGGCATGCTGGTTCTCCCACAGCATAGCTACCACAGGAACAGCTTTGATCAAACTGCAAAGCGACTGTCAGTGCAAACAGGGAGACACTGATTAAGGGAAGTAAGACAAAACATTGAAACTGCACTTGAAACTAAAACCTTCTCCCCTGCTGTCCTCCTTTCAGTACTTGAAATAGGACTGATGTGAGGTACTTTGGTCAGATTCTGTTGTAACCTTGTCGCAGTTCTCCATTTAGTGTATGTTGTTACCTTAAGAGAGATGTATTGCTCTTTTGGTTAAGAAGCAGTGGCAACTCAAATGTCAGATGTACTGGAAATCAATCTAACTTAGCTTCTATACCGTTAGAGGTTTAAAAAAGTTTTACTCTCAATTAAGAAATGTAAATGACTAGAAATATATCTGGAAGTTGTCAAAAATCAGTTCTTTATGACAGAACTGGGAATAAACACATATCAGAGGTTTGATATGATTTGTTTTGCTACAGAAACACTAGACTTATGGCTTCATAAACCACTGAATGTATTTTATTTGAACAGGCTTACTACTGCAGTTGATCTCCCACCTGAATTTATTCATCTTTATATCTCCAATTGTATCTCCACTTGTGAACAGATTAAAGACAAATATATGCAGGTGAGTGCTTCAATAAATTGGTTAGGAAAAAGTATCCCATATATAGCTCTGTGAAATGTGTGCTATGATTTTAATAAGGCTGATGGCATTAGGTTATTCTGTTTTACTGCTTTTTTATTTCAAAGGCACTTTTTTTTTCCTAAAACACTATGCAATTCTTTATAGAATTTAATGGACAGTTCTGCATTTTTTTTATAAGACTTCACAGGTAATCACTGTTCTCTGTTTTTCTGTAGACATCATAAACCTCTTCCTGGCAAAACTGCCATTTTATGTGCCTGGGGTTCTTATATTCAAAAGGTTTATCTGTCACTCTGTGAGCCTTTTCTTCATCCCCAGTATTAGTTTGCATTCTGCTTAGTTTTAAGCTTCAAGTTTCTCTTTTATGCAAGTGTGCCAGCCACTTCCAGACCTCTGAGGTGATGTTACAAAACTCACAGGGAATTCTTGCCTTTCAGTCATGACTGATAACAGCTTGCAGATCTCCTCAAAGACCTAAAAACCTTTTGTCTTTCTAACACCACACTCTGATTCCCAAGCCTGTCACACTTACATGCTGGTACTGAGGAAGTTGTAACCACTCCAAGGATCCCTGTTTGAGGAGGGTGAGGGGAAACCTGAGGAGGTTTACACACTTCTGGCATTCAGGGTTGTCTACATGCTGTGTGAGGTACTTCCTTCTCTCCTAAACCAATCTGTTGGTTTCACCAGATGCCTAATAGAACTTTTCTTGGGTACGTCGTTGGTGAAAAACAGTTCTGTATTCAGTTTCTCCAAGGCTTTTTGAATCCCAAGTCCTGCCTTAGCTTTTTCCTCTTGGCACTGAAGGACAGTAATGTCTTTAGTCTCTTGCAGCAAGACAACTCTTCCTTTCCCTTTAAGCTGTTTTGGTATCCTTTAGTGCCTTCTCTATTGTATCCTTTAGCTACAGAAATGAAAGTTGTGTGCAGTGCACAGGATAGGGTTGCAATGTGGTTTTAGATAGCAGCAATCCCCCCATCTTGTTCTCAATCCCTTTCAGATGATGACTGACCATGTGTTATCTTTTGATGGCTGCTGATGCTTCTTCACTTTGTGGTTCTGCCAGACACACTTGGGTGACTTGATCTGTGACCTGCTGAGTAGTTCTGCCTATTACATTTGGTAGTGGAGTAGGAAAAGAGCAGCAGACCTGGGCTGCAGCTGAGAATATGCCCAGAGTGGGACACTGCTCAGAGGGGACAAAAAAGAGCTCTGAGGGTCAAAGGAACTTACACTGATCACTAAGCAGCATGCAGAGCTTGAGATCTAACATTTTTTAATGTGTATAGGGCCTCACAGCAGCTGAGACACAAGATGTTTTGTTTGAAAAGCATGGTACAGAATTACTATTGGAAATGATCCTCTGGGACTGGGAGTCAGCCAGTAATCTTGCATTTGTTCTTTTGCCGAGTTTCATGTTCCTAGATTATTATAATTACTCACGTAACTAATTTGTGTTGCTGAGAAAGCATGTGATGCCTTTTGATCACAGTGAAGGAATTAAGTTGTTCAGTCCCTGAATTCTCTCATTATAAGTAGCAAATTTTGCAGTAGTAAGCTCAGTTCCTGGAAAAATAGCTGATATCTTATTTTCAGTGTCAATCTGAAATGCTTTGGACACTTAATCTGTCACATCCCTCAATTTTGTGTGATAAACATCATTCTCATACATAATTGCTTTTAGATAAAGGTTTGGGTTCAACTCTTTCTCACAATGTGAAGCATGAGAGCACTTTAATGATAATGATCTGGTTTTATTCTTGGGGAAGAATGTGCTCTGGGTTAAACAGATGGCTGGTGACTGGATCTATGTATGACAAATTGTAAGTGCCAGTTCCTAAGCTTTCACTTCCAATTCCCATCGTGCTCTTCAAGGTGTTGCCTAAGTAGCCCTTAAGAAAGAGGAACACTTTTAAGATCCTGTCTTTTCACTGGATCAGGCGGGAAATGAGCCACAAGTTCTTGGATTAGGTGTCCCTGGAACTGTTTTTCTTTCTATTAGAGAGCAAAAGGGTTATCTGCTGATTCAGGAACAGAGCACATTCCATGAAGGAAGTTTGGAATCAGTTTGGTTGATGTCACTTCCTATCTGGAGTTCCTTGATGAAGTGGTGATAAGAAATTTTGAGATGTGAAATTTGTTCCATTTTCTTTATGGCGTTATTGTAGAAAAGAAGACTAAGCAAGACTCAAATGTTGATATCTTCAGCTATTATCTCTTCTCTGCCTTTATTCAGATATTTCATAATAAATTAAGTACAGTGGATAGGTAGATCTGGTGCTTCATTTGTGCATGGGATTAATCCTGAGAAGGCTCCTGCATCCAGAAGTACAAGAACTATAAAGCAGTCAATTCCTTAAATATAGTAATAGTATGGGAAATGGAAGAAAAGGGGCTGCATGTACAAAGCTTGGGAACATAACTACTGCAGCTAAACTGCTCCTGAAACACCTCACTCGTATGCTGAGGGCCAACAGTCCTTTAACTGACTTGGTAGCAAACATTTATTTGCATTATTAAACCATCTCTCTTATGTTTCAGAACCGCCTGGTCCGTCTTGTTTGTGTCTTTCTTCAGTCTTTAATCAGAAACAAAATTATTAATGTACAGGACTTGTTTATAGAAGTGCAAGCATTCTGCATTGAGTTCAGTCGGATACGAGAAGCAGCTGGCCTTTTCAGATTGCTGAAGACACTGGACACGGGGGAAAATCCGTCAGAAACAAAAACATCAAAATAAAGTGACTGTCAGTGGCAAAAAAACCCCTCTTGCTGGTGTTCTATACCAATTAATTGTACATTTTAAACTTAAATCCATGGATTATGTATTATGTTAATTACATTATAAATAGCATTTTATGCATTTGAACAATAAATAAGGCATTTTCTGATACATGTTTGAATTTGTGAAATATGTTAGGCCTTACACTATTTTTCCACTGTGGTTAAAATTTGTATGTTGCATGCATATCCTGAAATTCAGGCTCTAGATTCCAGAGAGAATATAAATGGTACTTAGCATTCACAGCAACTTTAAGTATTAATCTGGCACTCACTGTCTTTGGGTCCAAAATTGTTTGTAGATAACTAAAGTCAACTTGTAGCAAGGCAGGTAAGTTCCTTGTTTTACCTTTTGTTCACTGTGTAAGACCTTGTAGGAGCTGGATAGAACTCCTAACAATGTATTCTGGTTTTGGTGAGTAAGAGAAAATGTCTTGATGTCTAGAAACATCTAAAGGCTTATCTTTACAAGGCAGAAATGAAATTGGGTGCTATAGGCTCAGAACAATATTATCTCCTTTCAAGACCACTGAGTATTTTCAGAATATGCCAGCAGCAGTTGAAATACCACACCTCACATGCTTGTAAAAATGTTTGACTGAGGAAAGAGGGTCACATTTCTTCCATAAAAATAAAAAAATCCAGTCTCTTCTTACTTCTGAATTTGCATGGGCAGTTGCTATGTATCTTCCAAGTTGAATAGCCTCTTCCTTCTAGAGCACAGAGGCAGAGTAGCTTTCATGTTAGATGCCAGGTATTGGGGAAAGTGTGGCTGGATTCTGCTCAACTGTAATTTTAAGCAGATAATAGAGTAGCTGCTGTTATTTTTAAGCCCTGAAGCTGAAAAGGAAAGTAACTTGGAAAGTTAACAAGTTCTAATTTAATGCTGTTTGCTAAAATGAAAGCTGTTTTAAATCCGCATCAGCTTCTCAAATTTTTAAGAAGTACAAGATCAATAATGCAAAGTAAAGATGGTCTTTTGGCTTTTTCTTTCCAAGTAATTTAAGAAGTAAAAGTCCTTGAATTGAAAATCCCATCAATCTCTTGTTTCATTTAGTATAAACTTTAAGTCAGAAGACCTGTGAGAAATGTTCTGTAGTCATTAGGGGTTGGATTTATGCAGCTTTCCAGTTAAAATGTATCAGGTCTACTAAAGTAACACTTATTTAAGGTCTCTTCTAGTTCTAGACATTGTTTCCAAACCCAATACATTTGCTGTCAGGTATTTTTAGTGGCAACACTTAGAACATAAGCTGGTTTAAGATCATACCTTAATGTTTTCTATCTACTGAAGCTGAAGCCCAATTTGACTATATTCTGTGTAGTAGTACCCCTCTTTAAAAACATACATACATTCCAAACACTAGTCTGAAATGTAAGTTGCAGTGCTATGATGAAGTAACAGCTCCAATATAAAAATGATTACTACTGGTTGAAGTCATTGCTATCTACTTTATGATTTACAGAATTAGTTTTAAAAATTTAAGCCCCCCCCCAAAGGTTGCTACTATTATGCTACAGCTAAGTCTAGCTGTTCTGCATCTTCACTGTATTTGCTTGAATTGTACTGATATATGTAATTTTTATAGTTCTGTGGCAAATCCAATAATTAGGGATTTATCAAGAAATCTTACGATGTTATCATAGGTATGTCTGAGACATGAATTTCAGAGCCCTATGGCACTGGGGAAGTGCAGAGGGGCCAGTGTGAGAATAGGCTGAGGCTGCCCTGTTCCAGACCAGCAGAAGCCCTCAGGCAGGCTGGTGGCAGCTCAGTGCTAACCCTGGAGGGGTCGATACCAGATAGAGGATCCACACTGAAGTAGTTCTTTATGAAGTGCAGCTCCTTGGAAGGAGCTCGGGATGGAGCAGGACAAAAGGGTGAGGAGGGAACAGCAGAGAGCACCTGTCACAGGCTCAACCACCCCCCACCCCCTTCCCTATCCTGCCACCATGGAAGGGAAAAGTGTCAGCTGACAGAAGGGTAGTTTTAGTCCTCTAGAACTAATTTATTGCCATTTCAAAGTAATCTTCATAAAGTCACAGCTCTTGTGCTTGTGATGGTAATTGGTAACTATTTCTTATCTTGATCCACAAGTTCTTCCCCCAATTTTCCGACTCCTCACTAAGCAGCCAACCAAGGTTAACCTAGCCCACCCAAGTGCTGGTGACATGGGAAAAGCACCACATGCTGAAAGGGTCGCCCCTGGAGCTACCCAGCATGAAGTCAAACTTGTTTTGTGGTGTGCTAGTGCTGAGTGTCTCAGATCCACTTCCTAAGTGTACCAAAGAAAACAAAACCCTCCAGCTTCTCAGATGTTGCTTTTTAAAAGGTCTGTATAATTTATTATCGAATTTGAGCTTTTAGCCATTAAGTTACAACAACAATGCATAACTTGACATTCTTACAACTGTACATACACAATGGAAAAGACACAAGTGCTTAATCCAAACAATGCAACTGAATTAGTTCAAGGTTATAATAAAAGACGGTTGTGAATAGTTTTTGACAGACTAGCAAATTCAAATAGTTCTCTGCAGGTCTATGTTTATACTAGAAGTAAGTGGCTTCAAAGTTTTGGACTTAAGCTTCAGACTAACAAAATGATGGAAACTTACTTTGCTCTTCTGAATGAAAGATATGCTCATTTAAAAATGCAGTAACATTACCATGTTTAAGACAGTGAAAAGGAACTTCAGGTCCAATGGAAGTATAATGGACAGTCCCAGGTAATGCACTCTTCACACAAATACATGCAATTATAAAGGCATTCTATTTTAAAAACTTTCTTAAATCAAGTTTTGCAATACAGCAGGATATCTGAGGAGAGATCAGGACCCATACTGAACAAAACCAAAAGCCTTCAGCTTGACTTGTGCATGTTCAATTAATTCCAATTCTCAAATCTTCACATATCACCTATGAGAAAAAAGAACACATCCAGTAAAGACCAGTCTCAAAGACATGTTAGAATTTTTTACAGACATTCCAGTTTAAAAAAAATTGATGCTGACACATTCCATTTCAGGAACTGTAATTCACCATGGCCCTATTACAAAATTGCATCCCTTCAACTTACCCAAGGGGACAGTCTTGCTGAACTCTGCCCAACTACAACTGGCTGGTTGTAGAGGAACCTTGCAGAATGGGCAAAAAACCTGAATGACCATTCCCAAGTCAATAGGTAATTAACAAACAGCTTTGCACACTTGACAAAGGTGTTGCAATGGTGTTTCTCTGCACCAGTTACAACCTGAACAGGACCAGAATTGCCAACAGGCCAGCTTTGGCAGGAATATACTGGTATGCACTTTATTAAATGAGCATGGATTGAAGGCATTTCCACTGTAGGTAGATTATCCTACAACTCCTCCAGTAGACCTCCAAAATCTAGCCCTAATTACTGGCAACAAGCTACTGGACTACATCCACATACCATGTGGGGGGTAAGGGGCAGGGGAAAGGAATTAATGCTATCCTATTAAACTTCTCTCGTACATGCCAAGAATCTCCTCCAAGCATTGCTTAGAGCCAAAGAAGAATCCAGTCTAGCAGTCATTAGTAAAAGAAAATCCAGACTTTCCAGTTAAATTTGTTCTGCAACTAATTAAACCATTAACATGCTTTTAAATCTGAAATGTCTATGGTTCATTCTTGCTTGCTATCAAGTCTGAAAGAAGTATAGACAATTATTTTCTACCAAGTTTTTTCCAGTTTGTCAGTTGTAGACTATTATTAAACTAAAATTTCTGAACAAAGAGGGACCTCCAGTTTTTCCTTTAAGACAATTGTTAATTTCTCCTTTTAAAAAAAAATTAAAAATCACTTAACTTCACAAAATTTCTCCCTAACAGAAACAGCAGCAAAGCCATGCAAATTCACACAACACTAATAAAACTTATTCCCCAAAACCAGCATCCCCTAGTCTTGCTAGGGATTTTTCCCAAGTGATCTATTCAGCATCATCATTGAGGGGCTTTAGACTTCTTGTGGTGGTGCAATTTAGCTTTTTGTATAATGATACCACATGAATGCCACCAATAAGAAGCACTCTGCCTGATTACAGCAAAATCTAACAAAGGGACAGAGATGTCCAAGAGAAGTTCCTGCATATTTTACAAAAACTGTGCAGCTCAGAAAAGTGATGAGGGAAGGGGGAGGCAGCAGGAACCCAAAACACACACAGCTGCAGCTCCCACACTAGGCAGGATACTGAAGCAGCAGAGGCAGATTACAGCTTCCCCAAATGGAAGGGGAGTCAGGAGGCACCTACTCTACAAAAAGGATTCATGGAGAGGGTGAAAAAAAAAATAAAAAAAATCACACATTGGTTTTGACCTTCATGAAAACTTTTGGTAGGTGAAGTGTTAGAGACTAGCAATACCAATTCGATTCAACTTAGTGGGGATCCAGATCAGCAAAGTCTGTGCACCTGTATTTACCTACAGCAGCCTACACATGTTTACTCAATGTAAGCTGGAATAGCAGGTCCTATGCTTCTTGTTTCTAAGCTTCTCTTGCTACTGTTTTAAACATCCTAGATTGCCTTTTTTGTGCCCCACACTTTTCATCCCACCTCTCTTTTTACTAATGCATGTCAGCTTTTTGACTGAGGTCAGACTAGTGATTCGCTTCAGCTGATTTTTGTCATTGTGCTTCCATGGAGAGCAAACTGCCTGCTGGATGCACTGCAATTCGGCCTTTTATTGTCATCACTCCTCAGCAGTATAGCTGGCCTTAGAAAACCTAACTATATCAAACATCAACTATGTGCAAACCAATTTGACTGAAACAACTCTTTTTGTGAATGACTGAAATGAAACAGGTGCACTGCCAGAATGTGAAACAGACCTCAGAAGTCTTCATACTCGGATATTTTTTTAAGTCAGCACCAGAGTTTTTAAGCACACTTTTCAGTTTTCAGGTTCCTTAGCTTTTCTTCCAGCTTTCTGCCAGATCTCAGATTTAATTCTTAAGAAAAGCTTTTGGTTTTATAGGTATTACATAAAAGCTCAAGTACTTACCACAATTCTCCTCTCTGGAATGAATACTGTGCTGTAGGTATCAGCAAGACACAATCCACAGACTGACAACACTTCTCTTTTGGTTCCTCCTTGAGCTAGAGTTTAAACCCTCTCAACATTTACTACATCAATGTTCAGTTTTGTGTTAAAGAAGAGGGAGAAGACTTAGTTTTTCATATTGAAGAGATAGTTGAAAAGGCAGTTCTGGAAATGTTGATAAGCTTCTTTTGGAGACGTAAGTGTCCCTAGACATTGTCTGGTTTAGTTGTAGGTTGTTTATTTATTTGTTCAGTTTTGGAGATGGTTGGTCAGTCATATTTCATTCTCATGTGCTTCTTGTAAGATAAAGGCATCACAAAAACTTGCACCTGCTGGTGACATCAGAACTACAACC